ATTTTGATTTGTTTGTTTGTTTGTTTGTTTAGTTAGTTAGTTAGTTGTTTATTTCCTAAAGGATGAGTTTGCACATATTTTTACTACCTCTGTATTGAAACAACCCAGCATCCAGTGTTAAAAAATCAAAAAGTGTCATAAATAATCAAAAAGAACTGGACAGGCTAACAGACCTAAAAGGGGCATGCAATTGTAAAGACCGTAGCCCGTAGCCACTGTGGGGTTTGGGGGTTCAAATGACCCACCCCCCTTCTGACAAAATCTAGAATTTGGCCCCTATATGAGCTCATTTATCTCATTTTTGACAGTATGCAATCATACATTGTGAAAATAACCAATAGAAGAAGGGTTTAAGACTAAATTAATTTTTATTTATGCAAATGGACAAATTCTGATTGAGTAAATTAACTGGACAGTTTGTTGTTTGCCTATACAGTTCTTATTTTAAAACTTTTATTTTAAAGTTTTAACAGATTCCTAATTAAGTTTTTTTTTTTTTTTTAATGATGGGCTATAATAAATTATTATCGTATTTAAAAAATTAAGTATTTAAAAAAAATAAATTTTTCATATTATTTTGTTCAAAAATTTTTATGTAAAATAAATTGTAATCTCATTACAATATTTATAACACTGTAATAGCACATTAGTAAATAAACACATTTTTGTAAACATAAAATAGTATAGTAAGCTCTATAAGACAAAAACTTAAGAAATATTTTTGCTGGATCAAAAAGTGTGATAATGACAACTATCCGACAAGCCAATACAGCAAAAATTAGTGGCTAAAATGTCATAAAAATGCAGCATTTGAACCTCATAATTTAATAGAAATAAGTCAAATAACTGTAAAAAGTTCCACTTTTTGAAAAAAAGAACCGCCCAGACTTAATAGGCTGGCTATGATCCTGAAGAAAACGTTACAATTTTCAGTCATATCAAGCCTAATCAGGACATAAGATTTCAGGCGTAATCAACGAACACTGGAGGCATCATGACTAACGCGTGCTGAGTGTAGCCTAAACTGCATGCATAGGGACCCTAAAGTGAGAAGGGAGCCTCACATCACTTAAACTGATGCTGCTTGAAGATAAGTGAGATGAGCGTCCGGATTTTGGGTGACAGGGGGCTTCGCGAGCCCCTGTGAGTGGGGAGGAGCCCCGCCGACTGTTGTTTTATCTCAATGGAAGCGGGAGGAGAGACACAAAGCGCGCTGAAGACCCTCAGTAACCATGGAAGCGCACGAGAATGAATGGCCTCTCCTCCGCTAACCATATGAACTGATTTAACATTAACATGTTCATAAACTCCCATGTCTGTTTATAGTCAAGGGAGGAAGAAAGGAATAAGAAGAAATGCGTTATGGTTGCATTTAGTCGCACGTGAGTGTTCGCTAGAGTTTAAAGAGGAGTCCGTTATAACCATAAAGCCAGGGTAAATATTGTGAAACAACCAAGCGAACATTTTAAACTAGAATATCCTGTTGATTATTATTTATTCCCACTGTGATATGGATAAATCATTAATTAAAATCCATACAAAGAAAATTAATAGGCTATCACAAAGCAAATAGCATATGTACGCGCAGCTTGAACTGACCGTTATTACGCATTTTAGGCGCTCGTGACGCACTGACCGGTCCATTTCTCTAAAATGCTGCACAAAACAAGCAACGTGATGCAAAAGTTACTCACCTAACACTTTGTTGCAACACTCCAAAGCAAACAACAAAAGGTCCGGGGGAAACGCAAGCGGTCAGCGCTGTGTCCGTCAATGGGATGATAAATACATCGTGACAATCGCGCTGCGCTCCCAGTGTTCCTGCACAGAAGTTGTTGCTCTTGAACTGCTCGTTCAGTTTGGCAGAGGATGTGTTTTCTTCCAGGACGCCGCGTGGATTCTGCAGTCCATGCGAGGTGAGTGTAGATGCGCGTGGAGCCCGACATGCGCTGCCATGCAGTCCGTTATATTGTCCCGTCTGAACTAGTGGACTTGGGGAGAGCCTTGTCTTGTCTGAGCAGGGATGTGCTAATCTCATTAACCTCCGCGCTTGACAGATCGAGGGAACAGCTCCACCAAGCGATCTGTCTTCCTCGGGCTGCTGGAGGAGAATGGAGAATGACGTTTCTGAAATCAACATGTGGCGCGGATTATTCTAATAAAAACGCTTGAATAAAAATAGCAGTGGACCTATACTTTACTCTCTTTTATAACTAATATAGGTTACTTTTACTTGAAAATTATCATTTTTACATTAAAGAAATTGGCTAAAGCTATACATAATATTTTACTAGATATTTTTCAAGATAGTAGTACTCAAATTAAAGTGCAATGTATAGGCTTGACTGGGTAAATTAGGTTAATTAAGCAAGTTATAAGGTATTTAGGCAAGTCATTGCATTTAACAGTGGTATGTTCTGTAGACAATTGCAAAACAAAATGTTTACGAGAGCTAATAATATTGACCTTAAAATGGCTTTAAAAATAAAATTGGCTTTTATTATAGTCAAAATAAAACAAATAAGACTTTCTCCAGAAGAAAAAAATATTATAGGAAAAACTGTTGAAAAAAAACCTTGCTCTGTTAAACATAATTATAATTTGGGAAATAATTAAAAAAGAAAAAAAAAATCATAGGAGGGCTAATCATTTTGACTTCAACTGTATGTATGTGTGTGTGTGTGTGTGTGTGTGTGTGTGTGTGTGTGTGTGTGTGTGTGTGTGTATATATATATATAATAACACATTTATATATATATATATATATATATATATATATATATATATATATATATAACATTCTGTTCCTTTAAATGTGTTTTTTATTATTTATTTTAGTCCTGACAATTATGTTTATATACTGTACCTTATATATTCTTTCTCTTTTTTTAAATATTAAAAATGTTTAGAAATATGCTTGTAGTAATATCTATATTAAAATATGTAAGTACATAAGTAAGCAAGTGTAAATAAATAAATAAATGAATGATTTATATGTCCGTATGATTACATCCTTGACTGCACTGTACTTTCACATGCCATTTTAAATAAATAGTTTTAAAATACATATTTAAACATTTTACTGAAGACAGTTATATCTGTGTGTGTTTTAAATAAATTATTTAATATTTTTCTTTTTTAGTATATTATATTTATTATTATTATTATTATTATTATTATTATTATTATTATTATTATTATTATTCGTTCATTTTCTCTTCAGCTTAGTCCCTTGGGGTCGCCACAGCGGAATGAACCAGCAACTTATCTTGCACGTTTTACACAGCGGATGCCCTTCCAGCTTCAACCAATCTCTGGGAAACATCCATACACAATCATTCACACTCATACACTATTGACAAATTAGCGTACCCAATTCACCTGTACCATGTCTTTGGACTGTGGGGGAAACTGGAACACCCAGAGGAAACCCACACGAACGCAGGTAGAACATGCACTCCATACAGAAATGCCAACTGACCCAGCCAAGGCTTGAACCAGCGACCGCTGTGAGGCGAAAGCACCTACTGGGCCACCATTATTCTTTGCCATTATTATTATTTATTATATTTTGATGTAAACAATTCTGTTTAACAGTGTAGCCCTATAAATACTCATGTAAGTGTTCAAACTATAGCCTGATTTGCTGCTATCCTACAATCCATACCCATTATTCAAGTGGATAATGGTCATTATTTCACATATATTCGCATTATTCTCACAAAAACTATTTGAAACATAAATGTAGACATTTTGCTAGCATTTGTGTCTAATTATGCAAACGCAGACACATTATGCATTACTCACACAAACAAACAAGCATTTAACTGGAACATGTTAAATACAACAGTGCTGCAACCTTCTGCCTATTCTGTAATTCCTTTTCAATTGTGGTTTTGAGTGTTTTGTTCTCATGCTTGGAAAACATCTCCAAGACATGTTTTTTTTTTTTTTTTTTTTTCACACTGTTTTATTTTTATTCAAATGGTTGTGCCATTTTTAAATATATTTAATATATTTATTTTATTGTGTGGTGACACACAATAACAGTTTTAAAATACTTGTAATTTGGTATTTTAAGTATTATAAGTAGTTTTAAAGTGTATTAAATTGAATATATTTTTAAATAGTCTATATTTCTGGTGTAATTTAAAATGCACTAAAACCATACAGGCTATTGTTAACATTACAGCTTTAATGATGTCTATTTAATAAAATTTAATTCAGTGAAATTAAGGGCAAGGGCAAGTATTAGAGCTGTCGCCTCACAGCAATTAGGTTGCTGGTTTGAGCCTCGGCTGGGTCAGTTGGCATTTCTGTGTGGAGTTTACGTCTTCTCCCTGCTAAGCTAAACTGGCTGCAGTGTACAGTATGTGTGTGAATGAGAGTGTATGGGTGTTTCCCAGTGATGGGTTGCAGCTGAAAGGGCATATTCTGCATAAAACATAAGCTGGATAAGTTGGCGGTTCATTCCACTGTGGTGACCCCTGACTATTAAAGGAACTAAGCTGAAAAGAAAATAAATAAATGGATGAAATTAAAATTTAGCTTAATTTGCTTCATATTGTTTTCAGAAATGTTACAATCTATTCCTCAATATAAAAATTTAACTATTTAAATTGTACATAGCATGTTGAAAAGGTATTTGTTTTTTCCTACTAAGGAAGTCAGTTGTTACAGGTTTTCAGCTTTCTTCAAAATATCTTCTTTTGTGTTCAACAGAAGAAATAAATGGTGTGAAGCAAGTGAAGGGACAGTAAATGGCGACGAAATTTAAATTTGGGGGTGAACAATCCCTTTAAGTGTATCCTCATATAAATGTGTCCTCATATAGAATTATACATGAAAACCATAAAAATGGAAAATGATAATAAAACTGTTCCTGATGACATCAGCGAGATAACGAGAGATGTCGATGATGTCAGCGCGTGCTCTGTGTTGACGTGGCGTCTCGTTCTCCAGTAATCCAGCAGAAACGATGAGGCACACAGAGGAAACAGGAGAATGGCCTAATCACTGAAGACAAGGCGACCACTACGCTCGTTTCTCAGGTAAATCATGACATGTTGATAAACAAAACTTAAAGCTGGTTTGTTTTCAGAAATCGAGTGTGTCAACACGTCCCCGGTTGTTGACAAAGTTTGGTTAGCATCAGTTTCACCCTTTTTTCCTAGTGAGAGTTAACTTACTTGATATTATTGAATAAAAAAATGTGGCGCTGTGGCTTAAATTGCTGTATTGTTCTGCCGTTTAATAAACTAGTTAGTTTCTTGGCCATATCGTACTTGTATTGCGAAACGCTGGTTCAATTTCCATGCTAATGCTAACTCGGCTACTTGGCTAATATACATGTTAAAGTTATATTTCTGAGCGAAATTAACCCCAAGAACGTAACATTTTAGGGTTTGCTTCTCGAAAACGTTATCTAAACACGTTTTTTGTCCGATTTCTTGGTTTGATTCTGTAATGTAAAACTGTCTCGTCTTGTGAAGTAATGTTTACATGCTAATAGATGCTAACATTAGTTAACGTTAGCGCTACCTGCATCCTCCAGGCCACGTAAGAAATACGGTCCACATGAGACATTAGATAGTATCTGTGCACTTTGGGCAAAAATTAACTAGAAATACTCACTAAAATGGTTTGTGTCAACATGAGCCAAGGCTGAATTTAGTCTTATCAGCAGTTTCAGCTGTTGAGTGTGCTTACAGTAGGCTTCTAGCCATTCATCCATATCTAATTTTTCCACACCTCAGCTGGGTTCATACCAAGAAGATTCCATTAACCTCAGAACTATGACAAAACCAGTATATTTTGTGAAGCACACCTATGATCAGCAGTACCTTCTTTCATCTGGCTTTTGTTCTTTTGACAGTGAAAAATGACTGGAAGGAACCAGCACAATGGTTTCCAGTTTGCAACGGCAGTGCAGCCAGCCACAGGTGCTTACATGTCTGCTTTTGGGAACAACTCCGAGACTGAATACTCAGAGGAGGATGGAGAGGCATTTGAACTGCGTTCCAGGGGAAGAGATCGGCATCACAGGAGCACATCTAGAGATCGCAAGGACGACATCGTGTACTTGATAAGGGAGATTAAAGAGGGAGACACGCTTATCAGTATTTCTCTGCAATATTTCTGTACTGTAAGTAAATGATCCCTTGTTGTTTGCTTACTTTTATGTTTATGTTTTGGTGACTGGCAAGATGACTTGTTTGAATTTAGCTTGATTTATTTTGAAACTCGTAATATTTTACTATAGATTATTCTTGAAGTATCTGTAATTTCAAGGAAAGGAAACTTATCACAAAACCAAACACATCTCTCACTTAGTTTTCACTGCAGATTTGGATTATTTATTGCACAGGCTTATCATTTACAATAGTTTATTTCAGTTCTTTAAAATGGATGTTTCACATCCTAGAAGTGTAACCAAATGAAGAAGTAACATGCGGAAAAACGGGGATAGGTTTAGTTTGTAAATTTTATTATTATTTGTTTACTTATTTTAACCTTCTGTCTAACATGTTACTGTTAAAGGGTCACGAAACACCAAAACACATTTTTTGAGCTGTTGACAGTCGTATATGTGTCCCACACTGCTAAAAACACTATTAGGACACATATATTTCACTAAAAAGTGTAAATTGGTTGTTTTTGCGTTATTTCAAGCAAATTCGTACTTCCTGTTTGAAACGAATTTTTGAAGCTGCGTCACGGTCATGACATAATAGCGTTGTATTCCAGCGTGCAGACTGGGCGTCTGTGCCAGAGTGAGTCTTATTACGTCTTACAGTGTGATGCATTAATGCATGAGTAAGGCTTGGTTCAAACCAATCAGTGCGCTCTATTGTGCAACATTCATTAGTGTCACCGTGTTTACGCCACAGAGACGTCACGTTTTGTTGGTAAAACAAGCGTGAAGTGTTGCTTTTATAGTTTGCTGCCTTTAAGTTTCGTTTTCATTTTCTCTCTGTGAGAGCTCAGCTGAATCACGTGTGGATTAACAGTGTACGCGACGCTCAACAACAATAACTTACGTGTCTAAGGAGGAACATTGTTTACCTGAGAGCTGTTCTCATCTGCAAACGCTGAAATCCGGATTCGCTTGTAGTATTCTCTCCATAAAGACGCGGCTCTAGTAGTACTGGGGGTTGTCCTGTCTCTACAGATTTGGTAAGTGAGCGACCAGTGCTCTTTGTTTATTCAGTTTGTTCGTATCGAATTAAGTTAACTATTGCACTGAGTGCGAACATGTTAGCACCGCATTTTGTGACCGGAATAACACACGCGGCTTTCTGACGCTACCTGCTGTGTGCATCTAAGTTTCCGGGAAATGCGGAGGTTTTTTTTCTCTCATTCGCCGTGCGGTATCAAACATTGCATGAAAAATACACGCTTAGAGCAGTTCCTCGAATCAAATATCTCGTTTGTCGGAGGGGCATGAATGAATTCCCTGAAGGAAAGAGCCAAACTGCAGTTAAAGTCCAACATTTAATAATTTGGCAAATAAATCGACTACAGATGTCCATGTAGGTTAAACACCATCCCTTTCTCCTGTGTGTATTTTGACTGAAACTCGCGCATGCCCAAATACACACTCCCACACCCTCCCACTTTAGTTCCTCCGACACTCCCCCCTAAACAGAGCTGGACACGCCCACTTTTCTGACTTTTTCCAAAGTAGAGGTGTGAAAACACCCTGCTGAAACGAGGGGGTTTCATGGCCCTTTAACAAAACTTCAGCCCCTTTTACATCGTATTAAGATGCTTTTTGATCAAACTGTGTCAAACTGAAAGTAAACTAGGAACGCATATTCCCGTTTACATTTGGTGTTTTAATCGGTCTTTTTAAAAAATATTGCTGTCTTAAGGAAATATTGCTAAATAAGCATGCATGATTTATGTATAAACGCAAAAAAAAGAAAAGAAAAAAAACTGCGTTTGAAGTAGGACATGTAAAGAACATTGTGCTTTTTAATTTTTATTTACTTCCAAACTAAACTTATAATTCCAGACAGCAGAGTATAAATAAGATCTGACTGTCGAACCTCAACATGTTTTGTGATGTTTAATTAGGTCATTAGGCATAGAGTAGGTGATCCTTTATGGTTGTGTACATTTATTTACATTAGCCATTGGATTATTTTAAATAATTGAGGTTTAATGTGGTTTTACTACCTCTGTGAGAGGTTGAACGTGGACAAGCTCAACTTTTTCGATCCTGTGAACCTCAGTATTTAATGTAGTCTGCTTGTGATAAGATGAACAAAAATGCATCTTAATACCCGAGAGCAGTTGCACAAAATCAGTTGAAGGTTTAGTTTGTCAAATACATGCATACTGGTTAAGATCTTGGGCTAAACTCTTATTATGTTAACCCTTAAATGAGGCAAACTGGGTTTTCCATTTCAGAATGAGAGGCATGTCAAATCTGAGAAAGTGTGGTAAGTCTTTTTTTAAATATATTTTTGTTTTCCTTTCGGGTTTGACATACCTCCCAATTTGAAATTAAATCGTCTACGTCAATTTAGAGTTAACATAATCTGAGTTTTCACTTTACCTCCTTTCTGAAATAGGCTTAAGGTTAAGTGATTTTATAATGCTTGATATATACTTTAACTTAAGGTTTTATATATATATATATATTCTATTTTTTTTATGTGATTTACTCTTAACCGCACGCACCTGAAAGCGAAATGTGCAGCAAACAGTCAATCACAAAACAGTGGTCAGTTTGATTAATTTCTCAGGAGAGAACCCTGTCCTCAGCAATTCACCTCACTGTTGAAGATTACAAGATATCGTTATAAAAATTTTTAAAATAGATTTAGGCAAAAAAAAAAAAAAAAACTGTTGATGTAACGACAGTTTGAGAAGACAACTTAAAGAAAATGTAGGTTCACAAACATTTCAAAAGAATCATTTAAATCAATTAATTAATATTAATTGATATTTGTAAACCATTTGATTATAATATAAACTGAATAATTACAATTCATATAGGCTACTATCAATCAAATATTAGTAAGAGACTATCTTTTGACTCAAATGCTTAGTATGAAAAGGTTTTAATTTGGAGGGAAAAAAAAAGACACTGGGACTGGGAATGGCTTTGTTGTATCAGACATATATTTTATATATGTTATATCAGTTTTCTGACAGCTGATTGGTCCAGTTAAGGTTTAAACTATCTAACCCCAAAATCAAATCTGCTCTGGAGCAGGTTAGCAGTGTAGTGTAAGTTACCAAGACGACAAAATGCTGCTATAAATTTTCAAACCGGTGGGACCAGATTTATACCCACTGTAAAAACACCAGGATAACACACACGACAGTCCTCCCACATGTTGTTTGTACAAAAGCACTTCATCTACGAATAATGTTCTATTAAATCGTTCCAGCTTTAGTTCTGTGAGGGATTCATTTCTATCCAGTTTATTCTTTTGAAGAGATTTTTAACACTGTTAAACCAAATACTGTTGAGATTTTAGCAAAAATAAATAGCAAAATCTTTATATGATCTAACTGCAATATACATTTTCTAACCATGAATTTAGTCTAGAAGCTGGCATAACTTTAAACACAAACAAATTAAGGCGATTAAACTTATGAGTTTTGTTCTAACTAAACGCAAACTTACCTGGAAGGAAATAGATTACCTGGATGTTGTTTGGCTCACATCCAGCTTTGTGCTTTCACATTATAATTCCTTTTATTTGAGTCTCTTAGGTCTGTATCTCAAAAAAACAATACATTCATAAATATACATATTACAACAGCATATAAAACATAAAACCCATTTATTCCATTACTTTCAATACCAGGAGCAGTACTCAATATTGCTTAGTTTGGATTTAGTGACGCACAATATATAGTTTCAGCATCGATAAAGCAATGGGTGCATTTACAATAGTCATAGCGCAGAATGTTGAGTTGGGTTTGACTGTGCCAGACTTGCATATTTTGTACAGTCAATGCAAAGTTTAAGCATAAATTTGACCATTTGCATGTGTTTTTAAGGCATGTGACTGTCTGAGCATTTCAATCCAGGTTAAAACCAGACACGAAATCATAATATTTGTTACTTTAGGAAAATATTTGTTACTTTAATTGTATTTTGTATGTGTATGTGTGTGTGTATGTATATATATATATATATATATATATATATATATATATATATATATATATATATATATATATATATATATATATATATATATATATATATAGGATGAAGACTACACAGTATTATTTTACATTTGATTATATAGTTTGTGTGCCTAAAAACTGCTAGACTCCCAGACAGCTGTAAAATACAGTATTATTTTTTTTTATTATTATCTTTGCTCTAGTTTATTTATCAATGACTGTGACTGGTTTATTATATTTTATGCCGATGAATACTCAATATTGTGCTATAGATTGCAGAAAAATATTTTTTATTTCTTTTTTATTTTCCCAGTATAGTTCAGCCCTATTTTGGATAACTTAAAACCATTATAATTGAAATTCATGTAATACTCAATGAAAATAGCTGTTATTGCCTTAATTTAGGGCTGTGCAATTAATCGAAAATTCGATTTAGATTTTGACTTCTAACAATTATGAAGAACATTAATCGAGATGAACGATTATTGCATTATATACCGCCCGCTTTCAAGTTGTTCACATTTGTTGCTCTGCAAAGCTCAGCTCCACGTAAAAATGACAAAAAGCATGCACTGTAATGTAACTTTTGCAGCACGGGATGCGCATCATTCATTGATTTACATTTAAATCATGTTTTTAAAAGAGCAAATGAGACGGCATGCCGCATCTTGGTGTGTGCGGCGCGCACACAACATGCAGCATTCGGCCTCATTCGCACACTGTGCGATCAGGGACGAGCAGTGCACACACATCTAAAGTCATCTTAATGAGAGCGCTTTAATGGTCAAATAGGTGTCAAAACGCTGTGTTTAGTGATTATTCATATTAACCTTATTTGTGTAATAAACGAGTTAAGAATCAAAACACGTGTGAAAGAAAAACCATCAAAGTGACAGCACGCAATATTCCTGCTGCCTGCCCCGTTTTTTATAATTATTCAAACAACAAAAGGAGAAAATGCCTCACTGCTCTTTACTGAACTGTTGTAGATAAAGTTTTATTCTTACCATAAAGAGGCTTAAAGCACAGTTTGTTTCATTTTTATTCTATTGTATTTATTTCCCTTTCCTTATTCACAGGGAGGAAAATAACTGCATGAATGCAGTTGAAGTCAGGATTATTAGCCCTCCATAATTATTAGCAACCCCTTTCCCAAATTTCTTTTTAACAAAAATAAGATTCTAACATTTCTAAACATAATAGATTTGATGACTCGTTTCTAATAATTGATTTATTTTATCTTTGCCTTAATGACAGTACATATTATTTTATTACATTTTTTTTTTCAAAATACAAGCATTCAGATTTAAAGTGTGATTCAAAGGCTTAATTAGGGTAGTTAGGCTATACTAAACTATATGATGATCTATAATGTCATTACTGCACATCACTTTTCTGCATGTGTGCATATCTAAATCACTCTTCCCCAATATACCCAATGCATGTTTGTACTGACATTCCTATTTTTTTTTTTTTTTTTTTTGTTTATCTCAGGTTGCAGACATTAAGCGGGCCAACAACCTTCTGACCGAGCAAGACTTCTTTGCGCTGCGCTCTCTAAGAATCCCTGTGAGAAAATTCAGCTCTTTCACAGAAACCCACAACACAGCTCCCCACAAGAGCAGCTCACCCAGTGGCACTTGCAGAATCACAGAGACGCCAGTTTCGGGAGCTTCCTTGGACTCTACATCCTCTTCCTCATCTGCGGACAGCGTGGAGTGCTTCCTGCAAGAAAAGGACAAAGACATTCAACAACTCGTCAAGTCTTCTGCCCCTTCCAGGAACAGCCTGAGTGAGGTGGTGTCTTCTCTGGAACAGCCTCTTTTGGGGGACGCCGAGCGCAGACCAGCCATTAAGAAAGACCCGTACTATGGGGCCGACTGGGGGATGAGATGGTGGACTGCAGTGGCCATCATGTTGGTCGTGGGCATTGTTACGCCAGTTTTTTACCTGTTATACTATGAAGTTTTGATGAAAGCAGATGTTAGCCACCACACTACCATAGACTCGATCAGGCCTGGACCAACGCAGCCAGCCATCGCTGAGCCTCTAGTTTTACCACAGGCCAATGCTGCTCCTCACCAAGACTCTCACCTACTTCCTGTTATTGAACAGCAGCATCATGTGAAGCACCAAGAGGAAACATAAAGGTGCATTTTGTAAATTTATAGAAGGTTTAAGCTGAATATTTTAAATTGAACTCAAATGGATAAGTGGATCAAGTAATTCCAGTCCTATTGGCATTTTTTCCTAGATGCATTTTGCACAGTTTGATGCTGGTTTTGTTGTGGGTGTCACTCACAGGCCAGTGTATAGCTCTGTACCTCTCTTAAGCTCATAGTTTGCCTCAACGGCAAGCGGGTGATATTTTCTGTAAACACTTTTGCTGCCATTGTTTGTCAGGGAAATAAACTGTAATTTATTTTAGGAAATGTAGAATCCAGATTCAGTATTTCGACTGATGGTAATAAAGTTGCTGGTTTTAAATGTTAAACCTTACTTGTGAAAGAAAAACAAGCAAACGTAATGGAACCATAATGGCTTCCTGGTTTTCGTCATGGTAGAGCACAGGAATGATCTGTGAAATATTCCCACATGTGCTCGGTTCATTTTAAGTAGGAGAAAGAGAGATGTGAACATTTCTATGAAACGTGGAGTACGGTGATTGATTTTTTTGGAAAAAAACAAAGTACGTGCCTTCATCCTGTAGACTGTAGAGGCAGGTTGAAAATAAAGAAACTATATTTTAGTATCTGAATCTCTTAATCATTTATTGCCTTTTATTTTAATAATTTGCCATAACATTGTGGTTATACTTTATATCCAGTGGTGCAGCGGTAGCACTGTTGCTTCACAGCAAAAAGGTTGCTAGTTTGATCCCCGGCTGCATCAGTTGGCATTTCTGTGTGGAGTTTGCATGTTCTCTCCGTTTTTTTCTCCCGGTTTTCTCCAGGTGCTTCGGTTTCCCCTACAGTCCAAAAACATGTGGTATAGGTGAATTGGGTAAGCTAAATTGTCTGTAGTGTATGCGTGTATGTCCTGGTCCTCCAGGTTGGGAGTTGAGCATTGGACTAACAACCCACCTCATAAAAATTAGATGTTACCAAACATCAACATGGTGCGGCTAAATACCAACTTCTATATAAACGGCCCTGGGAGTAAGTAAGAATACTTTATATCCACTTTAAACTCATAAACTGTATCATCTCATTTAATTGTTTTTAGATTGTACATATTCTTTAATTTTCTTTTATGATAGACTTTGGTAATCAGTGCTATTTTTTTTTTTTCTCCTCTCTCTCTAGTAAGTGGCTTCATCCATGTTGTCATCACTTCCTCCCCCAAAGTCATCGCCGTCTTCAAAGTAGCTTGCTATGTAGTCATTGTCCTGTGGAAAAACAAAACTGTTTCAGTTGAACTGCAAAGAACAATTGCAAGCACATGCACGGTTGCTTGTTTAAACATGACTGACGTGCAGTAAAATGTCCCCAAAAAAAAAAACACACGGAAATACGCACTTTGTGACTTTAACCAATGTAGATGTATACAAGCAAGTTCTAGAGTGTATACTTGACTGATAACATGACAAAAATTTGGTTTTAAGAGTTCACACTTAGCTGATGATTGATATAAAGCATGTTTGGTATGCTATCCAGGGAGAGAACCCTGAGCTCAGAAAATCCTCAAGCCTGTGGCTCCCTCCAGTTTAAATGGCAAGGGTGGTGTTTGACTTCAGGTAGGTCCTGAACTCTCCTAATTTGTGACAGATAGGGTTTGTTTTTGGAAAGCAAAAATACTAAGATAATCTGTAGTGCAAATTTGATTGAGTCAATTCACTTGTGTGGCATGTCTTTGGACAGTGAGAGGAAACTAGGGAACCTGGCTCAGAAATGTCAGCTGGCCTTGGTTCAGTGAAATTCTTGCTGAGGCAACAGTGTTAACCAGTGTTGCTTTGCTGTCCTGAAGGAAAGGGGGGTGGCTTTAAGATAAATATAACTTAAGGTTCAAGTGTTACCTAATGCAGGACTGACTGTGGTCAATCATAAGCATGTGATCCTCTCGAAATTAGTTTATAAATAAACGTCACTTAATGGAGACATAAACTATCTATAGCAGGATAAGTTGCTGATTACCGCAGAACAAGAATTGTTGCTATCGCTAGACAGAAATATATATATATATATATATATATATATATATATATATATATATATATATATATATATATATATATATATATATATAAAAGAACATGCATTATCATGAATTATTGTAGTTTTTTTTTTTTTTTAATTGAGGAAGTCAAAGGAAAATGCATACACACCAGCTATATCAAAAACAGCTTTGTGGCTTAAACTTTGGTACTTTTTAAACCAAGTAAAGAATTTAAATACATGAGAAACATTATTATATTGAAGAAATTTTTACTTAAAAAAAAAAAAAAAAAGTAAAATTATGTTAGAGGTGCTGTGAATTATGATTTTTCAACTTGTAAAATTGCTATTTGTATATAGTAATCAGCATTTGAAGTAGATCAAAATCTTTCATCAGCGTTGTCCTAAAACTTTTGAACAACACCCATTCTTGTCTTTGGACAATTTTGAAAAAACGGTTTGATCCACTTTAAACCTTGACTTACTCGGCAAGCTTATGTATTGTAGGCAGGCTGGTATAAGAGTCTGACGGCATAATAACCGTAGATAAAAACATATCACAGTTTCACAGTTTTGTGATTATTGCTCAAAAATATATTATTTTTAAATGTCTGGGTCAACAAACAAAACTTTTTCCCCTTTGAACACAATATATTTAATTTTGAGAAACACTTAAAATATTTTGGAGCTGTAAACATGTCAGGTTAAATGATTCACATGAATCACAGATTTCTATACAATTTATAACGGCATCTTTGGATATCTTTTCTCCTGGAGATAATGTTGTTATTTAAAAAAAAATGCAAAACAAAAATCTTACATGTACCGCAGAAATTGTATAGCAGAACATTTTGGCGGTTTTAAAACCTTGACTTTTCCAAACCACGGTATACCTTGAAAGCGGTTATCATCCCATTCCTAATTGTGTGTGTTTAACAGACATCCAAACAAAGACGCCTTGGCTAAAACAAGTCTAAATTTTGGGCTGTCAGTGGAAATCTATCAATAGTCATCAAATAGACAGACTTCATGTGTAGTCAATCTTTCCCATCTATTTGATGACTAGTCTATTTTTGTTCTTTTGTTTGACATATTAGATTCTCACTGACAGCACAAATCTGTGACCCTGGAACACAAAACCAGTGTCACCAGTGATGCATGCATCATCTAAAAGCTATATGAAGCTTTCCATTTTTGTAAGGTTTTAATTTTTTTTTAGGATAAGACAGGGGTGTCCAAACCCAGTGTTGGAGGGCCGGTGTCCTGGAGAGTTTAGCTCCAACCCTAATCAAACACATCTGAACCAGCTAATCAAGCGCTTACTAGATATAATAGAACAGGGTTGCTTAACCCTCAACCAGGAGATTTACCTTCCTGTAGGGTTCAACTCAAACTGATCAAACACCTGAACCTATTGATAGACGGCACATGATAATTACAGGCAGGTGGGTTTTATTTAGGTTGCAACTGAAATCTGCAGGAAGGTGGATCTCAGGAATAGCTGCGGTCACACTGGACTTTTCTCCCCATAGACTTCCATTCATATGCACCCGAATGCGTCAGACCGGAAATGCAAGTTAGTGTGTCAAATCGCATCACTTGACTGCGTGACACCAATCGAGGATCAAAACACGATCTCTCTGGACAGGAATTTAAAATGTGGACTAATCGCTCGCTTTTTTTTTTCAAATGTCGAATCATCTTGTTTAATCCCGCCCCATTTCGCAACGATGTACGACAGAATGCGTAGGCACGAACTCGTGATCGCAGATATAGGTTTGGTCAGTTAATAAAAACTGCATGGCAGATGTGTTGAAGCAAGTTGGAGCTAAATTCAGCAGTACACTGCCCCTCCAGGGCCGACTTTGGACACCCCTGGGATAAGACAATATTTAGTCCATAGGTCTCAAACCCAATAAAGGTTTTTTTCTCAATATTTAAATTTTTACAAACCCTCATATTCCAGATTTAGTCATGAACACCTTCATCCCTCCAGGAATTCAGTTTGAGATGATTTAGTCTATGCAACTACTTGAAAATCTGGAATCTGAGAGATTGTAAAAATCAAAAGATTGAGAAAATAACCTTAAAATTTGACTAAATTATGTGCTTAGCAATATCCATTAAACCAAACTTGATTCTAATATATTTACCATGGGAAATTTACCAAAGAAAAAAATCCTTAATATCAATTTCATATTTTAATATCAATTTTAATATCTTAATGGTATTTGACAGAAAAGTAAAATGTAAGACGTGTCAAGGGTCAAATGTAGCCTTATTTTAGCCAAGTTTTAGCCATGTTTGGATGCCTATTACATGTATTCAACAAACAATAAATAAAAATGCTCCCTGAAATAAAAGCGTATACCTCTTCAAACTCTTCATCATAGTCTCCTTCAATTTCTGCTTCCTCTCCTTCCTCGTCATCCTCTTTCTTTTCTTTCTTCACTTCATCCTCCTCATCAGATTTGACATCTCCCTTCTTCTCAAGTTCCTGGAAATAAAAACAAGCGCAAATGAGATGGCTCCAACCAAAAATATCTGTTTACAGTAAATCGAGAAGATGAAAACAGCACGAGCTCACATCCAACTTATTCAGCACTTCTTCTTTGTCCTTAGTAGAGATTTTTACGGATTTCTTCAGATCTGAAAGTATTTAAGTGTATGAGTCATTCAAAACTGCAGTTTGTTTAGGGATTCTACATCTCGATACAATTACCCCTTTTCTTCTTCTTTATGCTCTTCTGTGGTTTTAGCTCCTTCGGAAGACGATTCCAATCTACAAAGAATATCTACAATTTAGTTGAAATTACTCAGCCTTAGGGCTGGTCGATTTGAAGAAACATTTTAACTATTACCATTAATGACCAAATATTTGATTAATTTGTTTTATTATTTTGTCCTCAAGGTTCACTGACAGGTTTTCTACAGTAAATATGCTCACATATTACAAGTAAGTAATATTTGAATGAAGGGTGTATTACTTGATTTAAAAAATAATAATAATTGAATGAAACACTATCTACTATCTATGATTATTTATTGAACATCAATGTTGAACAACTAAAATTAAAACACACATTGTTTAAAACAAACAGTCACTTTTTTTCTTATAAAAAGTGAAAATAACTTATTTGAAAAACAAAAAAAAATATTTTCAGTGTTTTTCATATAAAAAAGTAGGAAATAAGCAGTATCTCTTCTAAATAAAATAACTTTCATATCCTGTAAATAATATTTTAAACAGGGCATTTCTTGCATCTTCTATAAACAAATATTTTAATGTAAATAATCATTTGAATGTAATGGAAAATATGCCATCAAGGCATCTCTGGCACAGCTTCCAATTATCGTCAACATAGTCCAAAGTATGGCTCAAGAATGGATCCATCGTCCTACTTGACCAGAGATCAGATGTGGCTGCAAAGTGTGGCTAACAGAGCGAGGTCACATGACTCCACACATGACAGGGAAAGTAATTGAAAAAAAAAAACTGACCTATAAAAATTAGATCGTTATAAATCATATATCGATTATAGGTTCTAAAGCTTTCGATTTCAATTACTTTTCCATTAAATCGCCCAGCCCTATTTAGCCTATTTCATTTAAATGAATACCTGGTGTCCAGTCTTCATCTTCAAGTTTCTTTATTTCCCGCGTGTATTTTTCCTTGTACCTCTCCACATCTTTAAATCACACACAATAACATCGTGAAAAATACTGATATGCTTACAATAATAAATATATGAAGAGTTAAGATGCAAAAACCTCTAAATGCCATCTGAAATTTTCATCTAAAATGAGTATTTTTATCAGTCTCCTGTGTGTATGTTCAGTAATATCACTTTTATGGCAAAGAATGAGCCCTTTTCCTGGTCTTGAAAGTAAAATATCTTACAAAATAAAAAAGAAAAAGAGGCTGAGAAAAACGTTCATTTCTGATGGAAATTTCAGACAACACTTTTTTTGCATCCAAACTCTTCATATACAGTAGTTGTGACTCATGGTCAAACTATACCATATCAGTTATACTATTTCACTTAAACATATAGTTAAATGGATTTATTGTTTCTAGGTGAGTTAAAACATAGCATTGCCCCCAGTGCATTAACTCATACTCATCTAATTTTACAATTATCTAAATTATTAGACTCGTTGTAGGAGGCAATAGGTATTGTGTGTTCCTAAAATTAAATAAAAGCTCCATCTCACCTCCCTTTCCTGCATGGTGCTTTATGTTAAAAGGAAGGTCCTTCATTCGTCCTCTCATCTCTTGTTTCAAAGCTCTCATATAATCTTCATCTTCGCCAGCTTTCAAAGGCCCCGGTTTATATTCGATTTGCTGTAAGGTGGAGTCGTGTGTCTTTAAAACTGAACCTTCTGAATAAACACTTTCTGACCTTGCTGAATCAGATTTTTAAAGTTTTGAGAAAGAATGGATGGAAAGAGAAATATCCATTTGGGAAATTGATGGAAGAATAATAACAAATGGTTCAGAATAGCTCACTGGGAAGAGTGGAGCTGGTCCTCTTTGGGTTTCAGGCATGGATCCTCTGGTTAGACCCAGGGACTCTATGTTGAAGGAGAATGCTGCTACACCTCTTCCCTTTCCAGCCATTTCTGATCAGATAAATTTTCTCTAAAATCATTTGGATGAAATAATTTTATATTAGTTTAATAAACAAGCAAATATTCATTCACTCATTTTCTTGTCGGCTTAGTCCATTTATTAACCTGGGGTCACCACAGCGGAATGAACCGCCAACTTATCCAGCATGTTTTTACGCAGCGAATGCCATTCTAGCCAAACCCCTCCCTGGGAAACATCCATACACTCTCATTCCCACTCATACACTACGGACAATTTGACCTACCCAATTCACCTGTACCACATGTCTTTGGACTGTTATGGAAACCTGAGCACCCGGAGGAAACCCACGCGAATGCTGGGAGAACATGCAGACTCCATACTGGAATGCCAACCGACCCAGCTGAGGCTTGAACCAGCGACCTTCTTGCTGTGAGGTGACAGCACTACCTACTGTGCCACTGCGTCGCCCAACAAGCAAATATTATGTAATATAATATAACAGTGAGATACATGTCGTTTTAATTGCATAGTGTCAAGATTTGTTAGCTGGCATCTAAGAACCAATAGCTAGGATGTTGTTGACTACTTTTCAATCCATATTGCTTATACATGCTAAACACTATGAGGATGTGAGGACTACACTGTGATGTCACTGGATGGTGATGTCATGAATAGTGATGCAAAACTGTCAATCAATATAATATGTCCCTTTGTAGTATTTTTGAAGGATGTAAACAAAAACAATGGTCTTAGCATATTTCCTGTTTTACATGTTTAACTTGTATAGCTTCCGAGAATCCAAAAAGAGCCACATATTGATAAATAATGTTATGACAGCGGTTTTAACATTATGATATGGTTGAAGTGCCTCTTTTACAGTTATGAAATAGTTTGATAACAAGCAGGAAATGTTCATAAAATACAGAATGAGATTGTTCAGTAATGCACATAAAATAACATTTCAAATATGTTAATTTAGATTTTCTTGAAAGGTGGATTAAAAAAAATGAATTATTGAACTGCTACATGAATTTGAGCAATCATATGTAATTTATTTTCTTTTAAACTATAAAACTTAATTAAATCAATAGTTTCAAGTAGTGTATTTAATTGTTATGCAACTGTAAATGCAAGAACATAAAACAGGGCATAATGCACTGTTTATATAAAGGATGTATTTATTCATTTATTATTTAATTATTTGTAATTTACAGTCATTTATTGTTATTTATTTTTAACAGTATTTTAAATTATGCATTAAGGAAATCTATGCATAATTGTTCTCGAGACAAGCAACTCTGATGTGTTTGGTTTCCTCTTTTTTTTATTTATTTAGTCGTTTAGTTAATTTAGTATATTTATTTATTTTTCCCCAAAATAACTGTTTGGCATTAGTAAACTTAGACTAACAACCCTCGTTTGATCGTCTTTTAATTTCTGAGTTGCCAAAGCACACCTGAATACGATTAATATTAGGCTACTTTACTATTTGAGTAGAATTCACCTCGCAAAAACGCAGCATGTTACAACAATACACTTGTATCTTTGTAAGAAATACGAGATATATGATTGAAACATTGTATTTAACATACAAGATACATTGTAACAGCATTTGGGTAAATAAATGCAGATATAATGTTTTACTTATTTAAATATCCATTACGTTTTACTTATTTAAATCTCCATTACGCTCCGTCGCGGAGCAGCAACAGAAAAAAAAACATATTCAAATAGCAACCACTTACCTTTACAGCTTTCAGACGCATTAAGTACAAATAGGCAATTAATTAAATACCGCTTGTGCTTTATTATTAATATGCATAACTTGGGAGGCGCTAATTTCATCAATGGCCAATAGCATTCTCGATTCTACGGCGCGTCACGTCGTTATGGCTGGTGACGTGTTACGCTTGCGGAACAGGGTGTCAGCGTCCTCCTCTCTGCGGCTGAAGCAGCAAAATTTGAAGCCAGAATTATAGGCTAACAACCATACATCTATCCTCGTATGCAATAACAACATCTTGAATGAATTTGGGATGGCTGCGACCGACTGGTACGCGCACAAGTCGCTGGAAAACGGCGTGTTTTGGATCCAGGAACGGTTTTATGAATCGGGGAACAGGGCGAATATCTGGCTCATTCGCGGTTCTCATCAGGACGTCGTCATAGACACCGGCCTGGGTTTACGGAGCCTGCCTGAATACATCCAAGAGAAATCGCTGCTCGGGGACGACGCGAAGCGTAAAAACCCGCTGTTGGCCATCGGCACACATGTGCATTTTGATCATTCGGGTGGGCTGCATCAGTTTCAACAGGTGGGCGTGCACAAAGCGGAGGTGGACGCTCTGGCCAACGGTGACAACTTCGAGACCGTGACATGGCTCTCTGACCGCGAGATTGTGGAGGTTCCTTCGCCTGGATGGAGAGCCAGGCAATACAGAGTGAAAGCGGTCACACCAACCCATATATTACAAGAAGGTGGGCTTGTAATTACTTGTAACTACTGTGCCAGTGTATGCAACATTATACGTTTTAAGCACATTTTTTATGTGTGCATGCATTTATGCACCGTTGCAGGGTTCAAGGCATAATCTATTACAGTAGTAAAATACACTGAATTGCATGACTTCATTCTGGGCATCCTTATATAATATCTTTTTGAAGAGCTCCAGAGAAAGATCGAAACAAATCAGATCATGCTAAACTCACCAGAGGACATGTCAGTGGTTAGTGAAAACCAAGCCGACTGTCTAATGTGGCTTTATAATCTGCCTGATGGTGGAGAATGCAGCATTATAGTGGACCACTGGCAGAAACCCAGCGGATGCAGAGTAAACCACACATGACCTCCTCCCCGTAATTCTCAGTCAATGGACTACTCTGCAGTGAGTTGTACTCAGTGGTGGAAAAAGTACTGAAAAATCATACTCAAGTAAAAGTACCTTTACTTGCCTTAAAATGCAGTGCAATTAGATTAAAATTATATGTTGTAAATCTTACTCAAAGTATGAGTAAAAAGTAGCTCTTTAAAAAGTACTCAAGAGTAGTGAGTATTATGCCGTGAAAAGCTGATGCGTTTACATGTAATTTGTGTATGTGTGTAAACGTAACATTCTGTAGTGCATCTAGTTATAGCCCAGCAGGTACACAACGCCATAAGACGTTATTATTAGGTTTGACTTAGGTTGTGATGTCAGTTGACCAAAATTCAATGGCTAGCCAGCGTTTAAGGACAACATTATTTCGATGTCCAATAATGACTTCAAGTGATGTTGATATTTGGATGGTTTTTAGGCTGTTAGAAAGTGACCAAAATCCAACATCAAGCCAATATCTTTAACCTTTATCATAATAACATCAAATACTGACATTTAATCATCTGGTATGGCAACCAAAATCCAACATCTGATAGACGTCACAGTGGTAACGTCCACACAACGTCAAGCTGTAACAACATTAGACTTTGATATTTGGTTGGTTTTAGGTTGGACATTGATGTTGACCTGACATTGAGTTCTGAAGTCAACCTGACGACATGTTGACGTCTTGTGCCTGCTAGGTGTTTAAGGCCATTTTGGTCGTCATACAGTAAACATATGTGATCTTTTCATCAGTGACATGCATCTAAACAGTCTCTGGGTCAATGTGTGTAAAAATTTTGGGCATTTTCTTGGACACTTTTAATGCTTCCAAAAAGTTTGCTGTAATTATAAAGCACTCATGTTTTGAAGTAGTTCAGTATGATGCGATTTACCCTCTATGTGCGATTTGAATGGACAGAAATCACAGGACAGATTTTTCTGATCCCCATAAACAAGAAAGAACTAAAGTAGTGACTGCAGGTTGAAGGAAAATAGTGGAGTAAAAATACTGATACAGCACAAAAATTTTACTCAAGGAAAAGAAAAAGTACACGTTTTTAAAACTACTTAGTAAATTACAATTCCTGAGAAAAATTACTCAATTACAGTAATTTGAGTATTTGTAATTAGTTACTTTACACCACTGGTTGTACTATTGCATATGAATAGATCTGTTGTCACTGTCTGTGAACAAATTGCATTTTTAATTTGGCATTGTATTGCATTTTTTTTAAATATCATTGTGATCTAAAGACTTAAGGTTATTCAAGATATTGTAGTGCTATCTCAAGCAAATTGAACTACCAAAAGTGCTGAATACAGTATACATAGTATGTGTGTGTTAATACATATAACATTTTTTAATCAAATTTTATGTTAAATAAATCTATAATAGTATTTCAATAACCCTTAGACCTATCAGCTTGCTGTAATTTCATTGCAATTATTTGAGACCGCTGTGGAAGATTGTGCAGTTCAACATTTAAAATAGGAAATCTAAACAAATAGCTATTGTTTATTTCTTAGCAGATTGAACAAAATAAAAATTATATTATGTTATATTATGACATACTTTGGAAATAAAGAAGACAAAAACATAAATATTTAACAAAATATAAATATAAAAATTATAAATATAAATATAAAAATTATAAATATAAATTATAAATAAACAATGCATAAATATTTTTTAGCTGTTTTCCACTGCATTAAATGAAATCAAGTGGGCCTATTTAATTGTTTTGCAAACTGAGTCTGCTACTGTATACATTTTTAAAAAGTCAATTAAATTGTTCGTTACGATTATTTGACAGAAAATTAAAATCTAATTTTCTTAATAATAATAATTATAATAATAATAATAATAACGTTTTTTATCGTAGCTTTTATTTTGATGGAAAAATGCAAGTAAAAGACTTTTTTATAGCACTTAAATTATGTTTGTGTGAGGCAGCATTTACTGACTTAAATCAGTATTAGCTTACAAGTGAATGTACAGTGCATATGGAAAGTATTTATAGCGCTTCACTTTTTCCACATTTTTAATTTTAGAGGAATTGGCAAAAATTCCTAAACACAGGTGTGCCAAGCTTGTGGCATCATATTCTAAAAGACTTGAGGCTGTAATTGCTGCCAAAGGTGCATCAACAAAGTATTGAGCAAAGGCTGGGAATACTTATGTACATGTGCTTTTTAAGGTTTTTTATTTTTAATAAATTTGCAACAATTTCAAAAACTTTTTTTCACATTGTCATTATGGGGTATTTTGTGCTGAATTTTGAGGAAATACATTAATTTAATCTATTTTGGAATAAGGCTGTAACATAAGAAAATGTAAAGCTCTATTAATACTTTCCGGATGCACTGTATAAATAAAAAAGGCAAATAAGGCAATTCAGAGTAATTTGACAGACAATTAATTTTTAAACTGGCATGAATGTACAGGCCTAATAATAATATTAAAATGAATGATTGCAGTGTACTTATTTAATAATGATATAATGATAATAATAACAATACTGCTGCTGCTACTACTACTACTACTACTACTACTATTACTACTACTACTACTACTAATAATAATAACAATATTTATAATTTTAGCTTTTATTTTGATGGAAAACAGCATATAAATAACTTCTTTATTGACCTTATTCTAAAATGCGGAAGTGCGCCTGTTTTCGCGATTGTCTTAGAACTTCCGATTCAGTCGCCTATGGGAGAAATGACTAGGAATAATAAACGGCAGAAAATGGCCAAACTACTTGCTCAACAAACAAATGTTTGCATGACTACACAGACCAAGTAGCATAATATAATAAGAAAATATTAAATTGCAACATCAAGCAGCGTAACGAGCAGTTGTTAACGTCAAAAAATGAATGAAAGTGAATGTGACCGGAAGTCGCGAGACAAAAAGATTCAAATGGCAGCGCCCACTCGTCAGCTGAGAATAAGGTGAATAGCACTTGAATGAAGTTTGTGTGAGGTAGCATTAACTGATTTATGTCAGTATTAGCTTACAAATTAATATATAGTTTCAGAAATAATTTGTGATTTAATAATTGTACAAAGGCATATGACTTTTCCGACATTGTTACACAATTATTTAAAAAAAAAAAAAAATTGTGCAACTTGCAAGTAACACTTCATATACTCTTCCACAGATAGAATTTGGTGCTTGCCAAGTGTTCATTTTATAACAATAATTATCCACCTCTTGACTTTTAATAGTTCTAGGAATTTGTTACTGAAATGATGTGAATGCTGCATTATTTGTGAGCAAACTTTGCTCCTTAACTTATTTTTTTTTTTGCTTTGTTTAGAAGAACTCATGCAGAAGTCTGTGCTTTACCATTTTCACTAACTATTCTTTAGGGATATTTTTAAAAAGCCCTTAATATTTCTGTGCTTGGTACAAAGAAATACCGCAATATCAAGAAATATCCTAATATCAAAACTTGTGCATCAGTCAATAAAGCTCCTGCTGTGTCAGTGCTGCATTGCAGTGACAATATCCAATTGCCACATACCCCATTTTCTACCTTCCTCTTTGTGTTCCCAGGCGACGTTATCAACCTTGGCGACCGGCAGCTTTCTGTTCTCCACATGCCGGGCCATTCCAGAGGAAGCATTTGTCTCCATGACAAGGAGAGCAAAATGTTGTTCAGTGGAGACGTGGTCTATGATGGTTCCATGATTGATTGGCTTCCCTACAGCCGGATCAGCGACTACATCCATAGTTGTGAAAGGCTTGTGGAAATGGTTGATAAAGAGGAGATTGACCAGGTCATGCCTGGCCATTATAACACTTTTGGGGGGAAGCGGCTACACCGGTTAGCCTCCAACTACATCGCTAGTGCCGGCACCTGCCACAGAGCTTCCACCAGTGTGGTGAAGTCCATTGCCAGCCTGGCACTTCGAGCGTCTAACTCAAGAAGTGCCTGCTAGTAGTTTAGAAAAATGACTACTATGCAACACCTAGCGTCATTGCAGACCTCAATATTGAGCACAGTGAATACACTGAGCAATACAGAGTGCTAATGAATTACGTATATGGTAGTATTGGAATTGGTCATGGTTCAAACTTGTATTATGCTGCATAATATCCATCAACGCATTAACAAATAATATAGACTGCAATATTTTAAAGGTGCTGTGTGTAATTTTAATAGTTGTTTTGAGCAGCCTAATATCGTAGCATTTGTCCCCCCTTAAACCATTTAAGCACAAGCCCCACCCCACAACTAATTTCATTGGTCAGTATTTTTGCAGGCAAGATAATGCTTAATGGATTCAGTGTGAAGATCATAAATAATGATTTATTTTGTTTTTGATAAGCGGTAATGATAACTGTTAGGATGTGAGACTAATGCTGTCCACTTTATTTTGTAATGCTTAAGCATGCTGCAAATGTGTGGAACTTATGATTCATTAGCCAAAGTGCTCGAGTCATGGTTGAAATGGATCCCATTTTGCATTATGAACAAGAGTACTGAATGTTTTGTACAACTAAAATGGATTAAAGTGTCTGACAGCAGAAGACTTGCAAATTCAACGTAAATGGCCAAATCTACCTAAACAATAAGGATAATGAGGTAAATGTTTGGGATAATATCAGTTTTTTTATTTTTTATTTTTATTTTTTTATATATAGTGTTGTCAGTCAAGTCTAATTAACATGACCAATGAAATATTTAGAATAATTGTAATATTTTTAAATATATATTTTAATATATTTCTTTAAACTTACGTGTGTTTTTTCTTTCTTTCTTTTTTCATTTTTTTAAAAATTGCTTCTGTTATGTTTTATTTTTTTCACCAAGTTATGCTAAATGCAGTGTAATTTATGATAAAAAGTTAACTTTATCAGTAAACATAAACTAACAATGAAAAATATTATTTTAACATTTTTAATTGAGTTACAGGTATTTAAAACATTCACTGCCAAGTGAAATCCAGAGTTTTATTCTTTAACATTGTATCTGTTAACACTTAGTTATACTATAAGGCTATTAAATGTGTGATTCTAAATGGCTGGTGAACATTCTAAGGTGTGCAAACCACAACTAAAGTAATCTTAAGTAGTTTTTAACCACATTACAGTTTTATTTGTAAATGTAAATGTTATTTTACCACCTACAAAAGTCAAAAAACAAATCAAGGCAAAAGATTTAATTGAAATGTGTAAGAAACTGCAAGGAAGAACAGTCTGAGGGCAAAAATGTGAAAAAATATTGACGTAGTTCTGATAAACGTATAAGTAGATTAACTATCATCAGGCTGTTTATTAGAAAAATAAGCAAGTGGTGCTCGCTGCAGAGCCATTTGAGGAGAGGTGAGCTCCAGAGAGGGGGAGCTTTAGCTTGAGCTCCACCTTTTTTGCACTTCTTCTACGAGTGATGTCACTGGGGGTAGGGTTAGGGGTGGGGTTGGTGTACGCATTAAAACAGCTTACAGGAGGAGGAGCGACAACTCATGCTCCCCCTCTCTGGAGCTCACCTCTCCTCAAATGGCTCTGCAGCGAGCACCCTCTCAAAATAAGCACAACTCGAGTGATCTAACATGAAGAACTTTGTTCAAATATGAATAATATGAAAAAGTTTACAACCTTTAACAAAGATTAATAAATATGGTAAACGTATATTGGTTGTGTTGGCTAATGCATTAGCTAAAGTTAACAAACCGGTCACACTAAAATTGTTAATTAATTGTTAGTTTTATTAATTGTTAGCATTAATAAAAGTTGAACTATGATTTATAATTTTTGTGGATATTAAAGATCAAATGAATTGGGTGGAACTCTACAATTGATCAATTACTGAAATAAAATATAATGCACCTAAATAATAAAGTTATTTATAGTTGAAGTCAGAATTATTATGCCCCCTTTGATTATTTTTTTTTTTCTTCTTCTTTAAATATTTCCCTAATTATGTTTAACAGGGCAAGGACATTTTCACAATCTGTCTGATACTATTTTTTCTTTTGAAGAAAGTTTTATTTAGGCTAGATTAAGACAAAATTATTAGCCTCTATTAGCTTTTTTTTTTTTTTTTTTTTTGATAGTCTACAGAAAAAACCATCATTATGCAATGACTTGCCTAATTACCCTAACTTGCCTGGTTAACCTAATTAACCTAGTTAAGACTTTAAATGTCTCTAAGGTGTGTAGAAGTGTCTTAAAAATATGTAGTAAAATATTATTTACTGTCATCATAGCAAAGATAAAATAAATCAGTTATTAGAAATAAGTTATTAAAACTATTATGTTTAGAAATGTGTTGAAAAAATCCTCTCTCCGTTAAACAGAAATTGGGGAAAAAAATAAATAGGGGGTCTAATAATTCAGGGGGGCTAATTATTCTGACTTCAACTGTATTTTAATTATTTATTTTTTATTTTTATTTTTTTTTTTTAAATTTTTATTGTGTTAACTAGTAGCACATAAATTACACACTGCACCTTTAGTAAATATTTCCATTATATCAACACAAAACGACTTCCATGTTATGTCTACATATAAAAAAGCCCATACAAAGCATTGTAGCTGACATGATTACACTTTCATTGACTCTTAAAGTAATCAAATCTCTTTCATGAGACTCATCTTTAAGAGACTGATTAGTTAAATGGGAGCCAAGGTGAATTGGTTGTAAACTGATGACTTGTTCTCTATGGCAGTCTCTGCATGAGATATTGATGTAGCACAGCATGGACTACGCAGCATTATTCTATAGGCTCAAGAGTGAATCGTGTTGTATATGTGATTGAAGGGCATTTACTTAACAAACAAAATCACAATCTTTCAGCGTCGGTCATATTTTTCAGGAGTCATGACTAAACGATGATTTTTGTTTGGTTTAGTTCCATAACACTGCCTCCATAGTAATTCTATTTAGTGTTTGCTTATTTGCAAACTGCACAATGGTTTTTATTTATTTGAATTATTCATTTTTATATATATATATTGAAGCACAGAAGTCGTGTGAGTGATAGTAGATAGTTTTGTAAGTCACTGCCTTATTTTAATCTGACATTGTGTAAAGGGCCTCCTCTTCAGTGTTCAAATGTGAAGCTATCACATGTTGTGAGTGTATGAAGTGAGTTGTTGTGTAAAGCGAGATGTTGGGGGAGCTATGAGAATGATTGACATTAAGTCACTCATTTATGTTGCCAAACTACAAATATGCTGCTTGACTATTTTGATGTAGTTTTCATATTGCTTAAATGCCATTGCCGATTAATGATTAGCATTAACAGGAGAGTAGAATGTGTTTGTGTGAATGATGGACAAGCGATAAATATATATACTGTATGTGTAATAATTTGACTCTACAGATGAAGTGAGCTTGTACAGGATATATGCACTATGTTTCTGCTCAGGAATCCATTGAATGCAGGCAAAATGAGCAGAGCTATAAATGCAACACTATATTCAGTGCCTATTGGAGAGTAAACCAACTAATACCTCGCAATGCTGACACAGCAGCTGTTGTATTTCCCAGGCACCTGGTAACAATATACTCACTTTCAATTCTGCGATTTGGCTCCCTGTGTTGTTTTTCCTCTCAATGTGTTTCTGGCTATACTTTAATGCATGCTTAAAGGGGCAGTTCACCCAAAAATCTAAATTATGTCATCATTTACTCATCAATAATTTGTTCCAAAACTATTTGACTTGCTTTGTTCTGTTGAACACAAGATATTTTGAAAATATCTGTTTGTAGGGACTAGGCATGGGACGATTGCTGTTTTCAATGTATACTGCGGTTTGGAAAAGTCAAGGTTTTAAAACCGAGATCATTTTCTGCTATACCGTTCTTAAGATATCTGTAAGATTGTTTTGGTCACAATTTGTTTTGATGGTTTGTTTGTTGAATTTAATTTACATTGCATCTACAGGCCCACTAATTTTCATTAGATTATAAGTAGACTGTTAGTTAGGTTGTTGTTGGGGTTAGGGTTAGTGTAAGTTGGCATGTACCTGCAAAGTTTTTTTTATAGTCAGTTAAATGTCTGTTGAAGGAGCAATATTAACAGATATTAAGCAGACAGTCTACTAATATTCAAACGGACCATCAAAATGAAGTGTTACTGTTTTTTTTTTTTTTTTTTTTAAGAGAAGGGTATAAACAGAGCCAACTTTAAGTGGGTGACTTGAGCTCCAAGTAGGATGTACAAACATTGAGTATTAATTTATTTAATGTTTTGTACATGACAGAGTCCAAATTTGTGCTTTATGAATGTCCACACCTATCCTGTCCCCAACCCCACAGTAACCTGTTGCGTTTTATTAACGTCTACACCAGGGGTGCCCAAACATTTTTATTTATTTATTTTATTAATTTTTTTGGAGGGCCAAAGTCCAAGCTTGATTGAGAGCTGTGGGCCAAAGGTAAATAACATAGCTAACTGTATAACTATTAAAGTTGCCATAGGTAATTTCCTAATTTATTTAACAATAATTCAAAAGAAAAAGAAAATATTACTTCAATCGTATTTACTAATGCATTCTAATTTTAGAAAATGCATATTATTTTAACAAACTTTGCCTTAATTTGCACGCTGATTTCTTCTGCTTTGTCCTCAATTTGTTAAGTGACTCTATGTACATTTAAAAAAAAATCTGTTTCATTTACAACATTTAATTGAAACATTTAATTTTTAATTTTTATTTTTTTTATTTTTTTTGTAGCTTAACAATAAAACAAATAGAGAAAAGGTTACATTAAAATAGAAAAGAGAATCTCTGTTAAAAGGCATTTCCCAATCATTTTCTCTCTGGCAGGCCAAATCAAAGGATACAAAAGGGCCAACTTCAGCCTTTGGGCCCTAATTTAGGCATTTCTGGTCTACCTACCCTAACCCTGAACCCAACCTCACAGTAACCTGATGGGTTTTATTAATATCTGCTTCACCTACACCACCTAAACCCACCCTACTTTTGG